CTGTAAATAATTCTCAAAAACAGTTTTTATGCAAGGCGTCCTCTCATGGCCACAGGCCTTTGGTGCGTTCACACCGCCGAGGCTGGAATGCTGACGCCTCGCGCACCAGACGCACATTCTCTCATTTTCAGACGCAGGGGTCTTCAGACCAGAAGTCCTGGCCTGCGGTGGAGCGCGCTGGAAGTGGCCGAAGTAGCGGGCGGACTTTGATGCTAACGGAGTTAAGCTAGCAGCATTTTGTGTAAAGTTCTTCTCCAATAATGCAGCTCTGCAGAGTCTCTGTGTCCAGAGACCTTCCAGAGACTTTGTATAACAGGAGTATGTGTTCAGGGAGGTGCGCCATACGTTTATTTTATTATTAACCAGTACTTCCGCATTGACGAACACACTCGAAGCAGTTGCATAAAGTCACGCGAGCATGAAAACGCATACGTTCACAAGCACTATGTCCCCCATTGTCAACCCTGGTTTTAGTCCTGGTGTAGCTCCTGTTTTTGCTGTTTACGAGTATGTTCAGTCTGCTCGCTCAGACCACCAATGTCCCAGTGACCACTTTGTGGCTCTCTCATTGGTCGCTGCTGCGCCTCTGCCGCGCCTTTGCTGCGCAGTCCGTATGTTTCTACCGCGCAGTCTGTGCGTGCATCCCGAGACGCACGTGCCCTTCCACGCTCGAATGCGCGTCACCATTGACTTTGCATTGAACGCATGATCCGGTCTGAACGCGGCTTTAGACCCACAAAGCTGAAACTCACATCTCTATTACAGTTTTTCTCTATTGCTACAACACAAAACCCAGTACTCTAAACCAAATGACCAATTGCCTAAACACATTTATTAAAACTTCCCCCCACTTCTCACAACCATAAACACAATTCTCCTGTAGACACTGTTCACAAAACACATGCCCTTTTTCTCAAAACTCTAAACACATTTTTCTTTTGCTAAAACACATTTTTCCTTTGCTAAAGCACATTTTTCCTTTGCTAAAACACTTTTTGCATGTATCTCGGCTCCTATAATCATTGTGAGGCTCATGTGATGAAAAATGTCTCCCACTGTCAGCAAAACCTGAACACAATGAACAGACCTGGTGTCATTCAGAAAACACAAATTCTCAGAACTGAAAACTCCTGTTGCAAATGATGTGACCACAAATGTATAAGTCAGTGCAGGTTCCAAACAAAAATGGATGATCAAGGCACAAGAAGAGGAGTTTGTGTCAGTGGAGGGAGAGGAGCAGGTCAAAGAGGGAGAGGAGCAGGTCAAAGAGGGTGAGGAGCAGGCCAAGGAGGGAGAGGAGCAACATGCATTATGAATTTGGGTACCCCAGCTTTGATTGCTGAGTTGTAGTTTCAGGGCTACAGGAGACACGGGGACACTTCCAGAGGCTCACATAGTTCAGCTGTATTTCTCACAGCGCTGTATTTATCGCGTCCACAGGTTGTCCAAAGATCCGCACTTGTCCTGTCAGCGCCGGTCACATGGGAATGAGTCCGCTGTGGCACCAGAGCATGTGGTGCCCCCCCACTATTTGAAAAGCACTGCCCTAAACATTGTGTTTCCAATTGTTACTGCACTGTAGTATCTATTGTGTGTAATGGATCCTCTATAGAATTTACAGTACCCATGTTTGCATTGAGTTTTAATATAACTGCATTTTCTGCGTTATGTAACTATTCCCATGATACGCGCAAATCTATAGTAAATGCCCAAAACATATTTGAGAATTAAAAAAGTGTTGCTCAAATGCATCCTGGCAGTTGTGAAACTGTCAAAAGAACAGTCTCACATTCTGAAAATTGTGTTTTCAATTGTTTTGGTGAAGTGGTTAATGATGCTCATAGTGTTCACATTTTTGCAGACCATGAGAGGTATTTTGGTGTGATGGGTTGGTTTTGAGAATATGAGTCACTGTTTTGGTGTGATGAGTCGGTTTTGAGAATATGAGAAACTGTTTTGGTGTGATGAGTCGGTTTTGAAAAGAGACTGTGTTGTTGTGTGTACGTAGCTTTAGAAAAGAGGTTTGTGTTTAGAGTTTTGAGAAAAGGGAGGGCAGTATCATGAAATGTGTTTAAGCAATAGAGAAAAACTGTAAGATAAGAGTTCCTTTATTCGTCCCACAGTGGGGAAATTTCGGTGTTGCAGCGCACAGACAGGACAGTAGTAAGAGCACACAGGGAGCACACAAAATATACACAAAGTAGTAGCTGTATTACTTAACTATCTGTAAATGCTGTAAATGCTTCGATACCAGTCTTTCAAAATAAAATATATATATGTAGTAGTGCAGAGTTATATACTGTACATATAGTGCAGGATAAGAAGTAGATAAGTAAAGTGACATTGTTCAGTGACATTCTGAAGGAGCAGTATTGCACATTGCACATGATTTAGTATTTAGTTTGTGTAAGCCCTCAGTCGTACAGGGATTAGTCAAAGCAAAGGAAGGTTTCTCACCCATCATCTGTACTTCTTAGTAGGTTTTCCCGACGTTTCGTTAGAACTGCTCCCTTCTACATCAAACAGACCTTAGATTGTTTATGAGTTAGTATCAGGATTAGGATCATAGGTTATAAATCTCCAACGCGCGGCCTGAGAATTCATTCCCTGAAGAAGTCCTTTGGATTGAGGACGAAACGTCGGGAAAACCTGCTAAGAAGTACAGATGATGGGTGAGAAACCTTCCTTTGATTTAGTATTTACTTATTTACAGATGGATGACATTTGCATTTGCAGACTCAGCAGTTCTTATTGTACAGTCTGACAGCGGCAGGAAGGAAAGACCTACGGAACCTCTCCTTCACACAGCGAGGGTGAATTAGTCTGTCACTGAAACTGCTCTCCAGAGCAGAGAAAGTGTCCAGTGTATTAGTTGATTATGGCCTGAGCGTAATGGTGTGAAAATACACACCCTCTAGAGCGCCACCTATGGGAGGCCTTTTTGTGCATAATCTTGGTCCGATCTGGCTACAAATTCATTGGCAAATACACTGTATGCCACTAATCCAACTAGCAGCGGCCTGGGAGTGGCAAGGGTGCTGCTTGTGGCTTTTTTGAAATTATATGTGTATTGAAAATTAAGCTGAAATATGTCTTTGAATTACATGTCCTTTGTTTTGTAAAGCACTTTGAATTGTTTACAGTTTTTTTCCTATTGCTTGAACACTATAGACACACGCTTAGACCAAAGTTACAGAATCTGAAGCTTTTGTAATAATTCCAAAACACAGTCTAACCATTTCTCAAACAAAAGTACTGCTTTGCACTTTACTTTCATTTCTGCAACACACTCTTTCCTTCAACAACACACTCTATCTTTCTGCAACACACTCTATCCTTCTGCAACACACTTTATCCTGCTCACTACACACTGCGTCATAAATGAGACACACAATGCAATCCTGTGTTATCATTGGGAAAACACATCTATTCAAAATACCAAACACATTGTGTGACTGAAAACACTGAGACACACACTTGAAAACACTGACTTATAAGATGTGACACACATCAGCCGGACATAAACAGGCCTCAGTTTAGCAATTTTCAGAACTTTGCAAGTCTGGAGGCAGGAAGAGTGGTTGTACAAAACGATATTTCTGATCATTAAATCTAAACTAAACCATGGCCACACAATAAGGGAAGCAGAGGGTCCAGCCACAGCTCCATCATCAAGACCGTCAGATGGAAACATGTCTCCAACTCTCTACTGCAGACTGTATCTACATTATTTACAGTACTGTATTGTATCACATGTACTGTATTGCGAGTTGGCTATTGCTCTTTCTGAAAAATATGAAAAATATATATGAAAAACATATGTTGTTGCATATTTCTACAGATGAACGAGAAGACCTTCTCAAGGTGCTAAACACCTGTTCACCAACAGCGGGAACATCGTGAAAACAGTCCGAGCAAGAACCATGATCCATAATCCACACTTGCACATTTGCCTAGTTTTCCTTTTTTTTGTGTGTGTTACTGCATTGACACAAATGCAGTAGACTATACAGTAGTACTGTGATGTAGAGTATACTGTAGTGCTGTACTGTAAAATAAACAGTAGGACTGCGATGTACAGTGTTGAGTTGATAAATCAGTACTTTCATTTTTGGTTGTTGGTAAACCTTTGTTGGTAACAAGAACAGTTTAATTGAGCTTCACAGACTGATAAACAGAATCAAAACAGGGAAAATGACAGCAGTGTTTTATATGAAGTACTCTAGTGTGTTGCTTCCAATCTGAAAGTGTGTTCACATGATGTGTATCATTCTGTCCTCAGTGTTTCCTTTTGACAAAGGATTGTTTAGTTTTGAGAGAAGAGTTTGAGTTTGATAGTAGAGTTTGAGTTTTGATAGCAGAGTTTCATTTTGACCCAGATGTGTATGGTTTATGTTGCAGTGTTGTGTCAGACTATTGCGTGTGTAGAGTTTTGGAACAAAGAGCAACATTTTGCACAATGTGTTCAAGCAATAGGGAAAAATGTAAGAATTGTTCTTGCAGTTATTGATTATACAAAACCCGTGAGGACATCTCTTACAGCCTCAGTCCTGGATCTACAGCCTGTCTGTCCCTGGGAGCAGATCCCTCTCTGAGGTTTCTCACTTTTTTCCCACTGGGTTTCTGAGTGGTTCCTCTCTGATGCAGGAGAGTAAAGACACTGATGATATGGGACATGCACTTTTATCAACATTTCTGGAAAGTGGTCATCCCGCTCCCTATGGACCAAAGATTCCTAGGTGTTTGTTTCTATTGCATTTCTTGTGTTCAAAATGTTGACTGTGATTCTCTGATCAGCTGAGGAAACTTTGTAGACCTCCAAGACAACTGCTGTTGTGACTTATGTCTGTACACAAACACATTGAATTGAATTGCATTGTCATGGCAACATGTTACTGTTCAAACAGTCAATTGGACTGAACTCTATATAAGCCACAGCTGTAGCTTGCATGGGTCAAAAGCTATGGGTTATGGGTGTGAGCACATGTGATAAGCTGTTCATGGAGAAGCACGGGCTGACCTTCCAGAAGAGCCTGGGAGAAGGGGCGTATGGCACAGTGGTGAAAGCCTACTGCAGCCGCATGAGGAGGAACTACGCCGTGAAGATCATCAACGGCTCCAAGGTGGAGACCAGTTACCTGCTGAAGTTCTTGCCTCGAGAATTAGAAGTCATGAAAGCTCTGAACCATCCCAACGTCATCACCACATACCACATACTAGAGCAGAGCATCTGCAAGGTAAGAGGGGTTCCTCCACAATGCTAATGTGTTAGCTCAATGAAGCCCAATAGGGAAGTGCTCATGGTGAAGTTTGGCTCCAACTCGCGCTGTGTTCACACCAAAAGCTTCAAAACGTCCGTGAAGCGGTTTGACGCTGATGCATTATGAAATTGTCGCGTGTCATTTTGGTCCGCATCAAAGCTCGCATCGCCCGCCTGGAGCTCGCATTGCTCTGTGTCTGAGCCAGACTTGTTCTTATATTAAATAAACTACTTTTATTTCACAGCATGTGTGCATTGATAGAACATGTGCATTGTGATTACTTAGAACGTTTCTACTCACGTTCGCGTCAAAACTCACATCAAAGCCCACGTCAACGCTCAGGTCAACGCTCAGGTCAACGCTCAGGTCAACGCTCAGGTCAACGCTCAGGTCAACTCCAAAGCTCCCAAGCTCCCAAAGCAACGCTTTTGACGCGCGTCAAGTGAGGCCTGGTCTCTCGGTTTGCATTCAAACCTGACGCTTCCGAAGTCGAAGTTGAGTCTGGTGTGAACACAGCTTTAGGGCCAATCCCAATTCTGAAAACACTTGAGTTATGAGTTCCCGCAACAGAAAAGTGCCCTCCAATAGAAATGGGACAACCCTAGATTGCAAACTGATGCAACAAACGTGTTCCACGTCCCAGGCAACAAAAACAAGTCTGATTTCACCCCAGATAAGACAGACTTTATGAACCAAAGGTTTTAATAAATTGAGGCATTTTTTATTGTATTTCATTTTGAAGATTAGCTATAATTAGGCACAGGACTGCTCCACATCATGCACACACACATACGCACACAGAAACAGACGGGCACAGCCGCGGATCGGAAAGCAATCTCTCAAAGCAATGCACTCTCTGAACTACATGTCTACATCCATGCATGGATCTATAATAATGACATGCATCCATGTGTCTGAAACGCCTCAGTGAACCGTCAAATGGTAAGGCCACTTCGTGAGGCTTTCGAAGTTATACCGCATAACACACGCCTCGACACTCGCTTAAAAAAAACCTCTAAATTACTCTGTACACGCTTTGAAGCTTGAACACTTTCAGCACAGCACTCCTTGCGCTTGCCCAGGTGTTTCAGTCATGTTGTTTTCTTTATTTGGGGCGCTGCTTTTCCTGAAGCCTGACTTACCAACTATCGTAATGTAGCAAGATGGACACTAACCAGCAACCTGCTAATTACTCTCCAGAGCGCAATGGTTTCAGCAGTTTGAAAAGCATGCAATATATATTTATGTAGATCTCATGGTCATCACTGATACAGGAGCTGATCAGCCCCCATCAAGGGTACAATCTTATATTATCTTTACTTTGGGAATATAATAAAAAAGAGAAAGAGAATGGTGGATGGATAGACTCCATCCATTCTCTTTGCTTTATTCGTTGCCGGGTTGCGGGGGCAGCAGTCTGAGCAGAGACCCTCCGGCCAGCAGAGAGACAGTTTCTCCAGCAAGACCCAGGCAGACATCTTGGAGACCCAGGCAGACATCTTGGAGACCCGGGGCTTGTTGCTACCTCTCACTGGTCTTGTTCCTGTCTCTGCAGGTGTTTGTGGTGATGGAGCTGTGTGTGAACGGAGACCTCTGTGGGTACCTCAGCTCCAGAGGCCCCCTGCCCGAGGAGAGCAGCAGGACCTTCTTCCTCCAGCTGTGCCGAGCCGTCCAGTACCTGCACAACCTCCACGTCACGCACCGCGACCTCAAATGTGACAATCTTCTGCTGGACCAGAACCACAACATCAAAGTGTGTGATTTCGGCATGTGCAGACGGCTGACCTTCACCGGGGGACACATGGACTTCAGCAGGACCTTCTGTGGCACCAGCAGCTACACGGCCCCCGAGGTGCTACGCTCTGTCCCCTACAACCCTGTAGTGGCCGACGTGTGGAGCATGGGGGTGGTTCTGTTCCGGATGCTCTATGACCATCTCCCGTTCGACTCTGCACACGTTCTGCTGATGGTGAGGCTTCAGATGGGTCACAAGATACACTTCCTGGACTCTGTTCATGTCTCCCCTCAAGCTGTCGCTCTGATCAAGAGCATCCTTCAGGCAGATGTGGGACTGAGGATCAGCCTGGACGGGATCCTGTGCAGTCCGTGGATGATGCCGTCTGGACGAGTTGACACAGGGAACGATCCCAAAAGGAACAAGCCCAAAGGGAACCAGCCCAAAGAGAACCAGCCCAAAGGGAACCAGCCCAAAGGGAACAAGCCCGACACCAAACCCAGATTTAAGGAGGACTTTGAAGAAGGAACCTCGGACCAGCACAGTGAGAAGTGAGATGAGGGATGACGTTTGATTGTGACCTGATTCTCCATCGCTAATAAATATATATTTAGAGGTGACAGCCAGAAGTAGATTCATGACAGCCTCACATGATGTTGTATCAGAAGAAGAATCAGAAAAAAACTACATTGGAATACAAAGAGGAGACACCGGGGGCACCAACACAACAAAGCACACACACACACAGACAAAAGAATAAGAATAGTGAGGCAAGACACAGTGAGGCACATATAAAACTCTTAAAAACATGACTTTTTTTTCCTCTAGCTCTTGCTCTTCCTGTCTTCAGACTTGCAAAGTTATGAAAATGTCTAAACTGAGGCCTGTTAGTGTCTGGCTGATGTGTGTCGCATTTTGTCCGTGTTTCAAAGTGTGTGTCTCAATGTTTTTAATTACACAATGTGTTCGGTATTTTGAATAGATGTGTTTTCCCATTTATGAACAAAGTGTCTTATGTGTGACACTAGTGAGCAGCAGAAAGAGACTGTGTGTTACAAAATGAGAAATTGTGTTGCAGAAGGAGCAAGTGTGTGTGATGTACAGAAACCAGCGCTTCATGAAATATTAACTTCATACAAAGCAAAATCTAAAAAATAAATAATTTCTTAGCTTTACAAAGGCTTCATGAACAAAAAGTCAAATCAACTCAGTATGTTAAGGCTAAATGGGAAGACGAAGGTAATATTACTATAACTGATGAAGAATGCCAGGGTTACTGTGTATCATTGTGGACATGAAGAAACTCTCATACTGTACATGGTTTGGCTGGAAGTGTTTTATCAGGTTTTTTATTACTCGAAAACAGTGGAGTGGATACGAGCCTAGATGCTGGAGGCAAGACGACCAAGAAGCCAACCACTGGCACATATTTTGGGACTGTCCAAACATAAAATAATTGTGGAAGGATATTCATCGAGGTAAATATTCAATATTTAATGAGGATATTCCCTTTGAATTCTCTAGCCTGATACTAGGTAACACAAGATTATTATAAAACAACAAATACCTATTTCAAATGTTAATAACTACAGCCAAAAAAGCTGTGACTCGACACTGGCTCCTCCCTGCCACTCCGAGTCTGGAAAACTGGACAGACACTGCAAACTATACATTTCAGATGGAGAAAAACTCACATTTTCCTTTCACTTACAAATAAACACTTTCTCAAAGATATGGTCAAAGATTTGTGACTGAGATAGTGATTCTGTATATATCTTTTGTCATCACACCATTCCCTTGTTTGTTAAAGTAGCAGTAATATTTGCATGTCAAGTCATAATTAAATGGCCCCCATATTTCAAAAGGCGTTATTAAATCATGCTCTTTTCGAATACATCTTTAACTGATAACAGTAGTTCAGCCGAGATATTCAAAATTACTTTTACGACCCGTAAAAGTTGTTATTGTTTTGATTTTGATGTCCTACCCTCCGCTGTTTTGCCAATCAGGAAGTGTCATGTAAGTCCGTGATCGGGTTGCCAGAACTCCGCGCGGCTCACTAATCTCAGAGGTAAAATAACATGTGGCCGCAGAACTAAAAAAGGTCTTGTTATGACCCTCAAATAATTAATGACAAAACAAAGACTAAAACGAGGATTTATATCGGGATGCCTTTGAACAATTGAGACAGCTGATAGAAGTTCACGTGTGATGCAAAATTTGCTGGTTTGACTCCGTCCTTTAGAGTTATACTGCGCGAATCAGTGGTCTAGTGGTTAAAACCTCGCACTCACGATGCAGTAATCCGAATTTGATCCTGGGTAGAGCCTTTTTGCATTTAATTGCATGTTATCACATTCTATGACAGATTGCTCTAAAAACGGTAAAAGACAAAGGTCAAGACGTTTTTTGGCAGATTATAGCTTAATTGTAAAAAGAATCATTTGAGACCACATGTACCCCAATTAAAATAATGTTAGTCTCTTTTTGATGTGGGACTTATACATGTTTGTCTAAAAAAATAGGGAATAAATCAAATTGAAAGGTGATATCCTCTGGAGCAAAACCTGATGTTGATACGCTGAAGAAATACGTTCCAACATCCATTCTTCCCACTCCTATTTTGGACATCAATTGCTTATTTATTTTGGATAATCTATAATTACATTGCTTTTATTTTGTTTTGTGTTTTTTATCTCAAATGTCCAAATAAAAATACAACATTAAACATTCATTCAACGTTAGCATGCCTCATGGCAATGTGAATGGAGACAGACAAACAACTGATAAAATAATTCCCTGTGTTTGCTGCTGGATTTGGTGTGTATCTGGGAACTTGAGTCAGGGAGAGAGGGAGAGGACTACAAAATATTGACTGTGACTGCAGTACCACTTTTGGCCAGATTTTTAGGCCCGAGCCCCGAACGGGGAAAGGGCCTATTGTTTTTGCTCGAGAGATGTCAAATTCTGCACTTTGAGCCTTAATTTCACCCCCTGAACATGCATGAAAAGTTGTAAAATTTTGCCCAAACCTCAGACCTGGTGAAAAATTTGATATTTGGGTGTTTATTTTTATGGGACTCAAAAAATGCCAGAACAGCGCCACCTACAACAGCCAATGGGAGTTTCAGAGGTCAAGTTTGTCGTAGAGCCATGAAATTCGGTACACATGTTCCTCAAGTCAAGATACGACCGAAATGTTATCATGGCTCCGCCCTCTGCCAAATAGGAGGCCCATAAATTTCACTGCAAAATGGAAAAATGATCCGCAATCATTTTCATACATGTCGGTTGGAAAGCGACTCCTCCTCGGCCGTTTCACCGATTGGCCTCCATATCACTCCACATTGTCTAAACACATGTACCATCAAAATGACCTCAGGGATTTTTTTTAATTTTATTTATTTATTTTTATTTTTTATTTAACACCATGTGATACAGATTCCAAAAAAACATAAATTACTAAGTACAACATAGTAGTGCAGAATATATTGGTGGGGGAGGGAAGGGGGAGTGGGGGGGGGGGGCATTTTTAAGGCATCCCGAGCATGAAACAAAGAAAACAAAATACTTAATAAAAAAATAAAATAACAAGCAAGTACTGTCGTGGAAATATGTAGGTGCTAATGTGTAAGTGTGGGTGTTAATGTATTTGAGTGTTTGTGTATATGTATAAATGTGTGACCATATGTGTCTGAAGAAGAAATAGAAAAACAGAGCAATAACAGTAAATAAAACGAAAATAATGAGTGCTGCCACCTGCTGTCTCCACAGATCCCAGTAACGTATTTTGGCTGTTTATGTGTATTTTTTTGCTTATTTTGTATTATTATTATTTGTATTTTTTCATTTATTTTTATTTTTTGTGCATGTCTAGTGCATTAAAAACATGCAAGGGTAATTTCTTTTTTTTTTTTTTTTTTTTTTAGTCCTGTCATTGTTGGGGTCTCTTCCAGCAATAGCAGGGCCACTTCCTTGTTTAATCTTGTGTGTATTGTATGTGTGTGTTGAGCGTGGCTTATGTTATGCATTAAAAATCCAGGGTTCTGTGGGAGGTCTGCGCTCCAGGGGAGTCACCTCTAGAGAGCATGCCTCCCCTCCTGAATGGCCTAATCTAGTAGGTGTGAGTCTGTTGTTGGGTTTTTATAATTTTTTCAGTTTTGTTTTGGTAAGAAGAGCTTTGGTTACTGTGGTGACAGGGTTAGCAGCATAATACTCATGGTGTTAGGGTTGTGTGTGTGTGTGTGCGTGCGCGTGTGCGTGCCAGTGGATAGTGGGGGGACTTCCAAACACTAGTGATTAGTATACGGTGATATTGAGGTATTTGATGAAGGGTGACCAAGTTTCCGTGAAGGACAGTACGTTATCATCCTGAGATGATGGGTGATGTGTGGTGATGTGATGGGTGAGGGAGTTGATCTAGTGGTTGATACTTATTGAGTTTTTGGTTTTCCAGTTTAATAAGATTATCCTCTTGGCGATAGCTAGAGATGTCAGAAGGCATTTTGTGTATCTGGTAGGTATGGGGCTGGTAGAGGTGGCGCTCAATAGACACAGAGATGGAGAGAGCGGGACTCTGCAGCTCAGGATGTCAGAGAGTTTTAAGGTGACTCTGTGCCAAAAGGATTGAACTGGTGTGCATTCCCACAGTGCATGTATGTACGTGTCTGTGGAGCCCATTGTGCATTGAGTGCATGTGCTTGTGTCTGTTAGTCCCATTTTATGCTTTTTGTGTTCAGTTATATGTGTTCTGTGAATAATCCTGTATTGTATCATTTGTAAATTGGTGTTTGGTGTCATGGAGAAGGTGTTGGTGCATATTTCTGTCCAGAATTTGGGTGTGATGGGTGAGTTAATGTCCAGGTTCCATTTTTCTTTTGGGGTGTGTATTGTTTGGTCTGTATTCAAGAAGTTGTGTAGTTTGGATATTAGTTTTTTCATAGTTTTAATTTTTTTTATATTTGGGGTGCAGTTAAGGGGTTGAGCTGTATGTTAATCTTGCCTTTGATTATGGATTTGATTTGGAAATATTGAAATGTGGAGTTTTGGTTGAGATTGAATTTGTCTGTTAGTTGTTTGTATGTCATAAATGTGTTGTTGTTGAATAGATGTCCGAGGTGGGTGATTCCTTTTTGTTCCCATGTTTTGTAGTGCAGTGGTGTGTTATTTGTGTTAAAGTCAGGGTTGTGCCAGAGAGGAGTGTATTTGCAGGGTGTAGGTGATGAGTTAGTTAGTTTTAAAGCTTTCCACCAGGCTGGCAGAGTTGTTGAGATAGTTATGTATTTAAAAGAGGTATGTTTTTTGAGTGCAGTGTTCATTGCTGGTAAGTCTGTCAGTTGGATGTTATGTAAGATAGATTGTTCGATTTCTGTCCAGGAGTTATTGTGTGTAGGCTTTATCCATGTTGCTAGGTATTGTAATTGGTTTGCAAGGAAGTAGTGTGTGAAGTTGGGTGCGTTAAGGCCGCCCTGTGATTTGGGCTATTGTAATGTTGAAAGTTTGATTTTGGCTTTTTTGTGTTTCCAGTAAAATTTTGATATGAGTGAGTCGAGTGA